ACCGTTAGTGCTCGGACCCTAAATATGCTTGACATATTCTGACAACTTGTTCAACTATTTTGCACAAAAAGACTTCTGTGATGAACTAATGTCTAAATGTTGTGGAGGTGAGACGATTCAACAGAGACCCATTATAATGCATTTTGATCGGCATGACATAAGCAATTGATAATGTAGGAAACAGCAGAGAATTGCACATAATCATTTGCATGGATGTACCAAAGCATTTAGAACTTGTTCAAAGAAATCAGAAACCACTTTTTTTTTATGTGCACAAGTGACACAATGATGTGAAGATTGAACAAGTAGTTTTGAGAATTTCAATTCTGATCTGAGAAATGTAGCAAAGCGACTGAGAAAAACCGTAATTACACTTAAGGAATACATTTGTTGAGCTAAAAAAAGAATAATCAGTTATTTACATCTGCTAAGGCACATTTTATGAAACGGTTCTCAGCTTTACCCATATGGCATAAGTAAAAAGAGCTTAAAAATCTGCAAAATCCCAAATTTAGGGTACTACAAATATATATTCTAAATGTATGCAGTTAAGCAAATAAACATACTGATTGGATTTTTTTGGCATGTCTCTACCTATAAGTGACCAGGATCTCGGACTGGCCATGCCATACTTAAGCAAAGATATATTTGTTGATTGTGAGTGAGGTGGATTATTTATTCACTCGCCTACCTTGCGTATATGAGCTTGCAGGCCTTGGAGTCCGTACATACGAAAGACGAACCATAACTTTAGCGAGCGAAATCTCCTCCCCAGTGGAATCTGCCAGTGCTGAAAGTGATGAGAGCAGGAGGGAGGTTATTGCCAGAACGTTCGCATTACTGCTGGTACAACAATTAATTATGAGACTTATTCATCTTACCCTGTAATCTGTGACCAGCCCTGTTGAAAGAAAAACAGATAATGCTTTTTATTACATGGTAAAAGTAAATATGGAACAGTCTATACATATTTGTATAGAATGTACTATACACTACACAGATAGATAGATAGATAGATAGATAGATAGATAGATAGATAGATAGATAGATAGATAGATAGATAGATAATGAATTTACATGTGCAAGGTAAAAAAAAAAAAAGAGCTAAGAACAAAACAACCTATAACTGTGAATAACCATTAAATTAAAAAATATATAATAACAAAGAAAAATTACAACATTTTTAACATAATGTCAGAAATATTTTCTTTTTATTTTACAGATGAAACTATTAAATTTAAATTTACCACTATAAATATATTTCTAAAATTAGATAGAGCTAGTAACAACTAAATAATCCATTGATGAATCTATCTATCTATTATTTTGGGGGGGCCCACATGCCCTTTTATCTTATTTTATTTTATTTTATTTTTTCTGCAGCGATGGTGCAATTTTTGCCTCTTTAGACTGTATTTGGAAAAATTACTCAGTAAAGTTTTGGCACTGAGCATACTTCCAGCTTCAGAAAAAGTATAATTTGTAAAGCATGTCCTTCTCACTTTTTCTTTTTCCTGCTGTTATTTTGGATCGTGTTCCATTACGCCCACCACCTGTACCTCACTGATCACAGTGCTGTCAGTCCACAGAGACCACTGGCTACAGGTAGCTCTTCTCCACAGAATAAAGGCCCGGCGTTAGCTTGTGCTAATAACCACTAATTAGATTGAAGAGTCCAGATTGAATGAGCAAAGGCTTTTGTAAGGTGCCTCAATGTGGTGGGAGGAAGCTGTCTGTCTTTCTCTCCCCGTCTGCTTGTTCACCGAGCAAATTACAGTGCAAATCTGAGCCCACCTGCGCCCATAGTGGCAGCAGACACATGGTCACACAGACAGAAATATTTCATGGGAATTTCTTTAGTTAAATCTTGATGGTTTTATTTCTGATCCTATAAGAATTCATGGTGTTTGTAGTCTCTTTAAACAACAGTCACACTGCTAAGACACAGCAATGGGGGTTTTTTTTCTTGAAATTTAAGCTTAACTTCAGGTAGGACTGCATTGTGAAATTATCAAGCTGACTGTCACAAGCCAACGTTCTATACTTATGATGAACCTAACAGAGTCTTAACACTTAAACATCCCAAAATGTCCCTGTTCCCAAATCTGAGATTGGTCCTCGCAAACATAGATGCTCAAAAACACACTGGCATCGTATTAGTTGTCACGTGTTTATCATTTTGCATGTGTTTGCCTGGATTAGACTTTCCTACGCTGCATTTAAAGACGCAATGCTTCAGTGGTTCATCAACGTAACTGTGTATGTGTGTGTATTCAGTTTTTTTACCTGACTCCTGGTTTTCATGTTTCAGGTAGAGCGGTTCCATTTTAAAGGCTCCGATGATGTCTGTTCTCTTCTTCACCCTGTTGGCAGAAAAATAAAATAAAATAAAATCTTATAGAAGGTTTATTTAATTCTTCTAAAATCTATTAGAATAACAAATAGTAACATTTACATATTCAGACCTGTTGCGATGATGCCCCTGTCATACATATTTCACTCAATACTGTACAATATGTTTTGTATATACAAGTTTAATGCCTCCCACATTCCATATTATACCATACTGCAGGTTTACATTAGGAAGTCTAACAAATTCTGCACTCTAAGTCCATTCTGCATTAAATTCCAATTAAGAGGGTCTTTAGTTTGTAAATTGTAAACAGAAACAGTGAGATGTTTCAACTACAAATGAAAATATCAGCTTAATAATTTAAGTAAAAAAAGATACATTTCTAAAAAAAAAAAAAAGTACATTGATCTCAGAATGCCTTAGTATTTAAACACAACATGGACTTAAGCTGCATGGATTGCACAAGTTTGTGTAAATATAAGTTATCCCGACATAAGAGTCATTTGAATAGGCATAAATGTGTCAGACAGCTACAACAGTACGGTGTCTCATTTATAATAGGTGTCACGTCAGTAGTGGCAGAAGGAGGTGATGGAAAAGGATTTTAAGAACCTCTTTCCTTCACCGTATGACAGGATCTGGAACTGTTTCCACCTTGTGCAGAGCATGTCTCGTTCTGGTGATGATGACAGAAGGGGCAGGTGGAAGGCGTACTTCTATTTTTACTGTGGAAATGACTGAGGTGTAGATGGATATCAGAACTCATTGTTACCTAATGGCACCACGAGTCACCGCTAAGGTAAACTGCTTAACACAAAAAAACTAAAAATGCTAACTCACCTTTTGTTCAAAAAGGTCTTTACTTATTACTGGCATACTCGTTAATATGGTCAAACATATAGTTTGCATAGACATTGGAGGATTTTGTCCACAAATGTTGAAAAAAAGGAGAAAAAAGCAAAAAGACTTTGATATTTGAGTTAAACAACTTACCACAGTGCAGAGCAGTCAAAGTTGATTAAAAGCCATTTGTGTGGGTTGAAGTTGAAAGAGTCTGCAAACTTGAAAAAAAAAAAAAAGAACAAGAACAAAACAGTGATGAAGCCACGCTGGTGAATGTTTGACTGGAAGCATAGTTAATAAAGAAGAAACAACAAAAAAATAAATAAATAATTAATCATTCACAGTAGCTCGAAGTGAAAGACCGAATAATTTGTCCAGAGAGAAAAAACAAAAAAAAACAAAAACAAAAACAAAAGTGTGTTCTTGCAGAAACACACATTTTCATTGACCATTATTGACACAGAGGCAATCTTGTGATCAACAGTATTATCTAGACTAAAGCAGGCACAGGTTTATTTGAAATGCAAAAGAGGAACATGCAGCCAACAGCCTGCAGAGGACACTGGAAGTAACCCTTTCCTGGCACTGTTTATTCAAAGAGAGACAACCATCCCTAATCTCCTCTCATCTTTTTGTTGGCTATCTTTTGTAATATCCTTGCCTCTACCTCCCCAAATGCAATAACGCAACCTAGAGAGACAATATGATACAGATTCCTGGCTGACAGTTGCCATGCTGACTGTTTCTAAGGGGGCTGGTTTCCTGCTTGCCCATCACTTATATCCTAGCAACCAACCATCAAGCGGGGCTCTCATCCAAAACGGACTGTGTTTCTCCTTCATGTCATCGGCCAGTAATTTTCACTGACCTTGTAATGTTTCAAAGTTCCGTACTATCACTACTGTGCAGTGTGGGAATTCGACTAAATATTACTTAATATGGTTTAAACAAGTTTGAGGCCCTTTTTTTTTTTCAAACCATTTCTTTAAAGCAGGACCCTGAATCAAAATGTTCACATTATATTACAAGAACATAATGAAAATATTAATGGTTACGGGAAGAGAATGTGTCACTTTACAAACCCACTGGCTAATTTTTGCAGCTATCAGTCGGAGAAAAGATGAAACAACAGTTGGTCCTTTTACCGTCAAGTCTGTTTCCTCTGTCTGCCCACCAACATTGTTTGAACTTGTGTGTCTAATAAACAGTGATATATAAAGGTCTAACGCTGCCTCAGGAAATTACTCTGTCCTTATCTCTGCGTCTCTGCACAGCTTGGGGAGCAACAGCTGCCTCGGCAGCCTCAAAAGGCAGATTGACGCTCTTGCGTCTTCTACCGATTGTTCAGCCTATTACTCAGTCCTGCATGCTTCCTCCTTGACATTAACGTTGTGCCCTTTTCAGACGAAACATGGTTAGTTTTCCCTCTCAGAGATGGAATAAGAGATATTTCACATGCAACTGAACAGAATAGGTCCTCTTTTTGCTCAGCACCAATGTGTATCTGCGCAGATGGATGCCAACCTCAAGTTTCTGGCCACACTTAAACCACAACAATCGTACTACAAAATAGAATGATCAAGGTTAAAATTTTCTAATGAAGCTTCTTGGCACAACCAAGGATGTTTGCCAATAAACTAAGGCAGTGTTACCAAATCACAATTACTAATTGTGTTATGGTGTCACAACTGTATGAACATAAGAGTTTGCATATGTTAACACACCTCAATTCCATTCAACAAAGGTCTAAATTCAGGACAGATAAATGCACTCCCAGCATATGCTGCATCAATGTGCATCCACATGTTTTCCTTATTACCTGGAACAGACAAGAAGCAGACATTATTAACATATGTAAAAGAACAGCTATTTTTTCAAACTATATATAACAATCTGGTAAATAAAAGTTGTGTATGCATTGCCACATATAATTGAAGATAATAAGAGTAAATACTGATTGTAGCATGACTTACTACATGCAGTCTCTCTTGTACCAGTTTAGGTTGCAGGGAATCTTTCATCCATGAACCTATTATTGATCTTGATTTGCCTCGTCATGATGTGCTTGTAAAACTAGTGACTGATTTATATGTGTCCTGCAAACCTGACAAGAGCTTTATAGTCCAATTGCTTTTGTGAGACCGAAAAAAAAAGAATGTGTGAGTGTCTGCAGCTGCAACTTGATGACTCACATAAAGGCCCCAGCTCAGTGATGTGATCAAAAGCACACGATGGAGTGGTGCCAAGAGTCGCACAGAACTGAAAAACACACATATACAAATCATCAACACCCTCAAGTGCTTTATTTCCTGTGCCATGTTCCATTTTCACTGCCACAACAAAAACTGATCCATGTACACTTTTATACAAGTGCAGGTATCAATTTCTTAAACATAGATAAAGGTATCATGTTTCACACAAAAGTGATTCAGAGCTGCTAGGGGAACTGCAGCCTCCTCAGTATTGTTCACTGATAGTGATCTGTAGCTCCACATGAAACAGGGATTATTGTGCCTAACCAGATAGACGTACATTAGGTTCTGCAGAAACAATGTTATCCTTTAGCAGAAGCCTCAGGCCATGTACAGCTGCATCACAAACAAATTGTATCATCGTGGCTGTCAGCTTAGTGAATGGTTGTGTAACTTACATGTGTGGCAAAAGCAGACATGTTTATTTCGATGGAAAAATGTGCAATATTCAGTGCTGCTGTATGTGTCTGTCTACTTTATGGTTAAACGGATGGATGCTGATCTGTGTCTTGTCTTACATAGAAAGGGATGAGTCCAGCTGCTTTGTCCTTCTCCATTATCCCCTTTAGCATTTCCCCTCTGACAGCATAGTTGTTGTCTGTAGGAACCTTCTTCATCATCACTCCTCCGATCAGAGCAGCTCGCTCCACCGAAGAATGAGCCTTAGGAGGAAAGACATGCAGCAGCATCAGTAACACAAAGTAAACAAGTTATTCAGTCTCTTCCTGCTTTAGGTGAGAATGTAACCTTCACATTTGGATTATGTGATAGAATTATTAGTTAAGACTAAGATAGAATAGTGTTCATGTCAAACCTCAGAACTGTGCTACACTTAAAACACAATTGTATTTAAAATCATGCAATATTCCAAGTAAGTCAAGGCCTTTAAGCCAACTAACAAGAGCCACACATACTACATTATGCTTAGTATTACACAGTTTGTTCTATAAAAATAGTCAGAATTAAAGTAGAAGCTATAGATGCGGATTTCATCAACATTTAATGCATAGGGTTGGTACAATATTGAACTAAATAACTTAATTTAGGAAATATATTTTTCATGCAGGGTTGCATACCCTGCAAAATAGAACACTTGCTCTTGAACATGCAGTTGAAAAATACTAACTGGTTTCCCTGTAAAGGTCTGTGCAGCCCTTAGGCAACTCCCTAACCCAATCACAGAGTCAGCCTGGAATTAAACTTGATCAGACCCAGCTACTGCCTGACTGACCCTCTGTCTCACTCAAGTGCTGAAAAACTCATTCACTGTTATTCAGGAAACCATAAATGACTTCACATTTATGTAAAATGTTGATCAAAACTTTGCATATGCACCGTTGTAATGTATTTCAGTTGGTGTTGTGTCACTATTCGTTAACTAAATGTAACTTCCATCAATTGGGTGAATGTGCACATGTGAACTTTACCTAAATTTGCCTAAAATATTGTGACTACCTGTGCACCTCTTCAAAGTCAAAGTTATGTTTAATTGCACAGTAAAATAATAAAATTATGACAAATTAATCTGAATCGTAAAGAATTTTGGCAAAAACAAGATTATCCTTTAAAAGGCAAAAAGTAGTATTATTTGTTCTTACCTGTTCAGAGGTGTATGCCACCAGTTTGCCAAGGATGTCAGACTCAGAATAAGTGGAGTTGACTGCCTGGACGCGTCTGATTGCTTTACAGCGGGCGGCAAGTAAAGACATCAGGGTCGCCTCACTGGCTGTGCCCTGTTGGAGAACGGAAGATTTTATCCCATCTTCATTTTTAAAAGAAACCAACAAACACGTGTATTTCAGGAAAGACATTCACCCTGATGTTTACAGTGGACTGTTGGACGTTGTAACCAAATGCAAACCAAACAAGCGCCTGGACAGTTGTTGACAAGTTAGTGGTTCATAATAGTAGGACTGCTGCAGTTGATCAAATGAAATGCTTGATCTAGGCATGTGAAACTTGAGCATTATTTAGTAACTGCATGGATTATTGTTTTCTAAAATATAGATTTTTAAGTAGTTTTGGTAAATAACAAATGTTATTTTGAATATTTACAGAGAAGGATGCTTTAGTGTCTCAGCTTCAAACTCTGAACTGCCTACAAACATGTGTTGAGCTGTAGACTAATCCAGTCAGCCAAAGCAAGAAGGAATGTTTTAGTAAAGGACAGCAATTTTTAAAAGTCTATTGTTTAAGTCTGTTCAGCGATAGAAATCAAGTCATACATTACAGCCAAGATTGTGTGAGGCCACAACATTAAAACCACTGACAAGTGAAGTGCATAACATCCATCAGCTTGTTTCTATCCAATGCTCAACTGGGATACCTTGTATGCTTTCCTTCATGTGTATGTTACTTTGGCATGTACCACCCACTTAATCAGTGCTTCAGACCCACTACACACCCAACCATACTCACTATCCGCCAGTAGCAGCATGTCCGAGCAGGACAGCCGTCACACTGCAATAACCTCTCAGGAGCAACTAAAAGGGCATGATAAAGAGTCCAAAGCAATGACCCTGTCTCCACACGCCCCAATCTATAGAGTCCTCACCCTGAAACCCACAGACCCCAAGGGAGCCATTGCCAACATCTTCCTGTGTCCATGCCTCGATGGTTTAGAGCAAATTTGGTGGCACTTCCACAACGTTATGCAGTTTTTTTTTTTTAATGCGCTTGCTGTTGATGTTTAAACCCACTCACACATTCATTCTTTAAAGTATACTGACATACATTGATATGTTCATGTGCCTGTAAACACACCCAATGTTAATTGAGCATTAATTGTGTGAGGGTTCCTATTGTATGATTTTAATTGACAGCAACACTATAAACACAATGAAATGATGTGTAATCAGCGTTCTTCTCATTCTCTAATGAGCTCTGACTTTAGCCTGTAATATGTGTGTATTTGTTATATACATTCAGTTGAGTAACATTTTTCAACCCCACAGCTGAATTTTTCATTAACTTTTTTGTGCTGCTGGATGTTCCCTTTAATGTAAATGCTGTGACACCTCCATTTCTTTTGCAGAGTAGAAAACCACTCTGTTTAGAAAACGTATTGTGAGTCAACCATCTAGCCTGATACACTGCTGATGTGAAGCGTGGCCTCTGAGGTATTTGGGGACATTAGCTTAAGAAAGTCAACGGAATGTCCAAATAATTCAATCAATAAGCACAAATCACTAGACAGGCAGAGAAATCTAGGCCATGATTGTTAGATAAGCTTTGTTTATTTCAGATATCCCTTTGAATATAAGTAATAACTGAATGTCCCTGTGGTGGTTTAGAGGTAGTGACATGCAGCATTAGCATTCAGGCTATCTCTGTAATCATATGTAGACTGTATCGTGGATTGTATAATGTTTTTTCTACTTTTGGTAGAGAACAGAGAAGTGCTATTTTATTACAAGAATGTTTGGTTTCTGATCAAGAGGGTCGAATGAGTTTTAGAGGACAATCTACTGTCATCACTCCATGTCTAGCCACATGTTAAATTATGTCTGTTTAAATCATGGTTAAAACTGGGAACATCAATGGCACACACCCATGTCAAATGCATACATTTTTCCTTTAAGGAGTCTGAACAGAACAAGTTTTAAATAAATTGGGTTCTGCAGGTCATCAAAAGTAGCTTGTAATTTGGAGAAGGCCTGGTTAGCGACAGGGCTGATGGGACACAAAATGTTATTTTATTATGCGTAAAAGTGGATGCTACAAAATAAGATTTACAGAGTAAGAAGCAGTGGACCTAACATTAATCCTCAAGGGACTATAAAGGGACTTAAAACATCAGCAGCAACAGTTAAACCCTCTCAGACAGATGAAACTTGAAGCAGTTCCGGCTGGTTATGAAAACCTGCAGAAAGCAACTTGCTAAACACATTTTGTGTCAACAGTATGAACAGCCTGCTGTCATTAGCCTACGTGACTGCAGCACTTCTTTTATTAGGTGACACAAGGGCATTTGCCGCAGTTACTGTGCTGTTATCAGGTCAGGTAATACAGGAGCAATTGCCCCCAGTTGCCCTGTGCTATAATCAGGTATAACGCTATAACGACAGCTATTGCTATGAAACATTATCCAATGGGAAGCCATATGACCAGTGAGTCAAGGATTTCAGACTGACAGACTGACCTTGAACAGTACTTGTTATCAGTTATCAAGGTTTTATATACCTAACTGAAAAATTGCTATTATGTATGGAGCGATGAACAGTTGAAGTTTTGCCTTTGACAACAGATATTTTTATCAAACACAACACATGAAGCAACTAACTCGACTATTTCACTACTACTAAAAGCTTTAACCATTGTTACTGCTTAATTTTCAGACTGTCGATCCATTACCACTGCGCTGAAAGTGGCATATTGATAATATTCAGCTTGTGCTCATCGTATGACGGTGATGATGCAGTTCCTCTGGTGTCTGAAGTTCTAGTTTATATGGCCAGAGCAAGTTCAGGAGAAAAGCAGCCATTTGATATTTTGGGATTCTATGCTTTGTAAGAAGTGTGACAGTCTTGTGAGTTTAAATATTAGAAAAGAAAAGAAAAAAACGTAGCATTCTTAAAATGGACTGTATATGAAAGATGGACATGGCATATTCTACAAAAAGTAAATTGACAAAGAGCAACTTTTCCTGAGAGATATTTTTTTGCAATATGAGACCCATGTCTTCCTAAAACAGAAGCCAGAAGTATGAACTATCAAGTATTAAGTCACACTTGAGGCAAATGAGGCACCTTAAGAGACAAGATAAAGCCTCCTATGAACTCCAAGGCCTCAGCTTTGAGTTTGCTTCCTCAGCACAAACAAAAGTGGATGAGAGACAAATCTTTACATAAGAGAAGACACAGTCAATATGTGAAATATGCACAGGAAAAACATACCTAGAGTCAGCAGTAAAATATAATAAAACCAGTGAAATGTCCATCATAGCCTCTACCTCTGAAAAGTGAAGCTAATACACAAGTGTGTCAAACCTGCACTCTCTGACCAGCAGGGGGCAACACCTTTGATCAGCCAGTCTTGAATGGAGCACCTTATTCCAATTTAAGAGTTTAAAATCCATTTGGAAAGCTTGTGCATTAAAATGAGAAATTTCTCTTTTTAGCTATAACTGTTAATTGGGTTTTATGGTTTGTTGTTGTTGCTTTTTTGTATGTCTGACACAAACGACTGGGCATGAAATTTGTGTCATGACAAATGCACAGACTTTTAGGGACATTAAGCTCTAGCTACAAGTAACTGAACCAAATAAAAGAGCAGTGTGAAACCAATAACAAAAGCAAACCTCAGGCTTCCAAACTTACCCGAGTGTACTTCCTGCTCTTTTACTGCTTACAAAGCACACTGAAGCATTACCCTGAGATACAAATGTGAGCACACAACAGCTTCTAAAGTTGGTAGCATTTGCAGTTTTTCAAAGCTTCCGTCCATCCTCCTCCAGTGAGAGTAAAACATAGCCTGTTCTTTTTCAAATGTAATTGAACAGGCATTTTATGACTCATGTCCTGCTGCAACCCGTCCCTACAGAGGCTTAGGAAGCAATGCTTAAAGCTAAAGATCATGCGTGCATTAAAATAAAAGCTGCATATTGGTGTCTTTTATATCTTAAAAAATGCAGAATGGCTTTGCATGTTTTATTTTTTCTTTAAGGCTTTAGTCCATTAAATTCTCAACCTTAAATCTTGGGCTAAAGTGTCTCGTCCTGTCTCTGATGGTTCACACAGGGGTAAATAGGGACTAAGGTCACCAGAGGGATGTTTTAAGCCATCTCATTTCCCCTATGTGTTGATATAAGGTTTAAAAAATAGGATGGCAATGTGCTGTCACAACACTCATTAGCCCTGCTGCAGTGAAAAGAGCCCCATTCGTTGCCATAGTGAGCCGGTAAGCTGCACTAAAAAAGGGACAGTGGCAAGACAGAAACAAAAACACGATGAGCCAGATGAGCACACTCAAACACGCCCTCTCACTCAGGAGGTCACAATAAAGGAGGTATGAAATGATCTGTCATCAGAGCGCACTCTCATGCTCCACTACTCACCATCCCATTAACACACACACACACATGCACACACACACACATAGAGAGAGAGTACGTCCTTTGCTATTGCTTGTGCGTTTCTGTCAATGGAACACTAAACTAATGCTTAGCCTTTTTCCACACGAAACAATCCCAGAAGCATCCCTGTCATCTGTCTGCCTGCGGATGACACATTAAAAGGCAATTTCCTGCCAATTTTCAGCTGGTTTGAACCGGAGAATGAAAGAAGGAACAAATCAATAGCACACAAATTGCCAATAAGTGTGGACATACGAGATCGCAATTGTCTGTGCATATCAACGTCCTTGGAGTCAAACTGCATGTGAATCGGAGAACTTGTTGAAATACAAACATGTGTAAAATTTCAAGTTTAACCCTTTATGGGGCAAGTGACCATATTTGGTAACTTCCTTGGACGTTCAATATGTCCACCCTGTGTGAGGTTGCAGAATCACGTGCACTTTGATTTAGTTTTTATATTAGTGCTAATATCACTACCTTATGGAATATTTCACTAAACAAATGTTTCAGGCACTTTATAAACACTTTGTTACTGGTTTGCATGGAACTCCACTTTGACTTATTTTTTGAGGTTAGTGCCATTAATACCACTACCCCAAGAAAAATGTTACTAAATGAACTTGTCAAACACTTTATAAATACTTTGTTACTGGTTGTGTGAGTATCATTACCTAAAACTGAAATGTTTCTAAATAAATGTTTCTTGCAGTTTGTTCCTTTTTTTTTTTGTTTTTTTTTACTGTAGACGGGCAAGTTACCATATATGGTAACTTTATTAATCTTCATTTGCAACATTTTTTTTTATTTTTTAGGTCACAAAAGTAAAAATATCTTGAAATATCGTTCAATAACACCCTAGGGTTGGAATTTTCATTTTCCAAGTATTTCAAGGAGTGGCCTATGAAGGGTTAAGCCTGTGATGAATTGTTCAAGCGAGCTAGGCTCATAAATGTGAGCAACAGCTGGTTTGACTCCTTGACTGCAAGAACTTTCTTTGCATCCAAAACACGTAAACAAACATAGCAGAAGGGTTACTTAGACATACACACACAAAAGACACTCACCTGGATGACCCCTCCTCCACTTCCATGTGTCCCAGCTATAAAACTCTCAGGCAGCTGCAGCATCTTCCCAAGCCAATCTAACATCACCGTCTCCAGCTCTGTGCAGGCTGGGCTGGCAGCCTGAAATCACACATCCAAAATACAAACAAAAAATGTCAAAACTTTTGTGCTAGCATATAGATATGAAGACGCAACCGTTCTTGAAACGCATGGTAAGATGCAGAGACACAGGTAAGTGTTTGTTACCCAGGAGAATCCGATACAACCGATGGCTCCACAAAGCATATCAGCCAGCAGGGCGGGGTAAGAGGAAGCCGCTGGAAAGTAAGCAAAGAAGTATGGGCTGTGCCAGTGGGTGATCTGGGAAAAGACAAAACAGTCATATAGTAAATCTGAAGTTAAGTATGTGTAATTTCATGTAACCATTAAAATTCCAATATTTCTATCTTAACAAAATGTATCACTCATGTCATGGTGATTCCATTTTATTGCACCTAGACTATAAGTCTATAGGTGAAATTAAACAAATGATTAAATGCACCAGATTCATATGTTTGTTGTAGCTCCTTATATCACTGGAAAATGTTGGCTTTATTAGAGAGAGAGAGAAAAAAAAGAAAGAAATCTGAGCATATAATTTTTGTGGGAAAAACTAAAGCAGTTGTTTTGCTTGTCTGACCCAAATTGCTATAACGAATAAATGTGCTAAATTTATGAAAATTAGCTGATAAAATAAGTCTGTCTTCTCTACATTAGTATCAGATCACTAAATGTGAATTTCAGCTGAACACGAGAGAATCTGCACATCCACAGTATTGCATTTATCAACAGGTCAGAGAAAGCATCAGCTCACCCCTGGCATTATGACCCTCTCCACATCCTTTATAATGTCCTCGTAGTTCTCGGGCTCCAGTGGAGCCTCGGTGGGGATCAGGGAACGAAGATATCCTGGCTCTATATCTGAGAAGACAGGTCGATTTTCTATGTTTTCCAGATAGTCGGCCACGTAGTCCACCATCTCCTTGCCTCTGCGCCGAAACTCTGCTGCATCCATGATATGACTGGAAGACAGCACAGACACAACACTTGAGATCTGGAGAGCAGTTGTGGTTGATGTTTAAACTGGTTGGACGAGACTTACTAAAGATTACTTAGTGTTACAGAGTGGAGAAAAAAAAAGAAAAGAAATAACTATAACACACATAAACACATCCATAAGTCAACTCTAACATTTGACCCTGTTGTAGGATGGGTGGATCATTAAAATATTAACCAGCTTTAACCATCTGGTCAGGTAGCAGACACTTCATCATCTATTGGACTGCCACAACTATCAGTAATCATGGAGGATTCTAATTGGTAGAAAGAGCCTGAGGGGGAGGACACTGGAGACAGAACAGAGACGTTGCTGCTATTCTAAAAACGTATTTGCGCAGTAAAAAGTTTAGTTCCTTTTCTATGCAGGGGAGACTAACTCAGATCTTTTTTTTATGAAATAAAAGATCTTAATAATGTCTTTTCTCTGAAGCGATGTCATGGAAATAAAATAAACAGGCTAAAGTCATTTATTTATTAGAAACAAATTTTAAAAATCTTATTACACTTTTTCAAATCACTCTTTATTTTTGAAATATATTTAAAAACTGATATGGTTTTTCTAAATGCACATATTCTGGATTTATTCACAAATCTATGGTCTGGTCCCAACACCAGTGCCAACCAGAAAGTTAAGCCATCATGAAACAAATTTATACTTATTCATTCACACTGTGATAATATAAGGAATACCAAAAAGTTAGCTAATAAGAAATGTGAAAAGTATGTATTTAAATATTTTTGCAGCATAGAATTTGAGATTAAATTGGGGGAGGAAACTGCTGATTGTTAAAGTTGTAATTAATTTTAAAATGTTCAAAGGGGAAAAACACATTTGCAGTTAATTTTTAAACCACACATTTTCACTTAAATCAACAGAAAAAATAAAGCAGAGTCGCTACTGTCTGCAAGAGTGAACACAAGCGTCCTCATGCAAGACCCAGCGTCTGTTCTATTAAGGATGCAAAGAAAAGTGGAGACTGACGTTCAACACCTGTCTGAGGGAAGCTAACAAATTATTTGGAGGTTCCACGAGGGTCCGTTTAACTTAACGCAATCAGCTTTATGCTGTGTAGGCTCAAATGGTTGAGCAGACTGAGTGTGAGCTTGTACACAGAGAGCAGTGACCTTCATGACCAAAGCAACATATGAAGAATTCTAACATCTAAAAACCAAAACAGGTAATAAAGTTGCAATAAAGAGAACCAGAGAGAAAGGCTGGCAAGAAATGTTTGATACATCATGATTAAATCCAGGGTGTGTGTTATGTGGGAGTCAGTGTGTGTGTGTGTGTGTGTGTGTGTGTAGATAGATAATTTCATATACCAATATAATCCAGCTAACCATATCTAAGTTAACTTATTTGTCATTGTTTAAGGTTTATGAACCCATACAGGATAGAGCATTTTGGACAGAATAAAGGTATATGGATTTAAAGTCAAGATAGCCCATTTTGCAGTTTTACTAATAAACTTCAGTTTTTGGACCGCAACTAGTAACATCTTGGCTTTCAGGTCATTCATCCATC